CCAGGATCTTACAGCTGCACGTGCCGAGAGGGATTTTATGGAAATGGAGTAAACTGCTCTGGTAACTATACTGAGAGAAATTATTTCGTTGGAAAACATGCGAGCAGTTGGTCTTACCCAAGATCGAGTTGGTAATGTTTAAAAATCAAACGAATACAGTAGATGCCTGTAAAACAAGTGAGGTTTCTACTTCCAGACTGTTATGTTATAGAGTAGTGCGGAAAGGCCGTGCAAAAGCACTCAATATGCTGTGATTTCATTATTTCATACAAAACGAAATATTCATATAAAGCCAGTCTGGCCACGCCGCATGCGAAGATGTTGCAAACTGTATCGAAACAGTGTCTAGTCAGTGATTAATAAACAAAAGTATGGTGCATATAATAGAAACTACGTATGATTCGATGCAAAATAAGATTTAAGAACATCCTCCAAATTCGCTCGAACTCCCTCTGACGAAACACTCCAGTACTAAGTTGAACTATTTGTATTGTCTTTTAGATATCGACGAGTGTACCAACGGAACACACAACTGTGATATTAATGCTGTGTGTAAGAACACCCAGGGATCCTATTACTGCACGTGCAAAGATGGGTTTTATGGTGACTATATAGATGAAAAAATCTATAACTGTATATCAATTTAAGTTTTTGGAAGAAGTTTGTGAGTTTCGTTTTAGCCTGAAGCAGCAACTTTCCCAATGAGTACCACACATTAGGGTCGGGCAAAAATGCTTTGGTTTTGCAAAAGAAAAAAATAGGACAATTCTGGTAGAAATAATTTCATAGTAAGTCTTTCTCTTTTCTTTTTTTTAGGGGACGGAGAAAGTTGCAGTCCCTTTGCGGCAGGTAAATATTTCACGTCAATTGATCACGTTTTAATTGATGCTTGATGAGCGTTTATATACGATTTTCAAAAGAAACATTGAACGGTAAAAGAATGAGTAGCCAAACGAGCACAAAGCAAACGAAAGCCCAGATGTTTTCTGCGCTCTCAGCTGGGCTGAGAGCGCAGAAAACATCTGTGATGAAACGTCAAAACATATCAAAATAACTTTTCACCACATTTTCCGCCATTTCGTCTCAGGTAGTTCCGATAAAATGGCTTGGGCTGTCCACGCAACGCGCGAGCAACATCCGCGGAAGAACTGGGTACCATGTCTTAAAATAACTTAAGAGGGATTACCTTTGGTATAAGGCCTATATCATGATGGGGGATTCACTCTCTTACCTTGATCTTCCCTTGCCTAATCTAATTATTTAGCAGTTCATCTTAATAGTTGGGAGTGTAAAATTAAGACCGCTTTGAGAACCAATCACAATTCTTCTTTTCATTTTGGACCAGTTTATCCTATAATAAGGACTATTACTACTGCAATAATAGGAGTAAATAACGACTTTGTAACGGCAAGGTTATGTCGTTCGCTACGTCTTTGCTAGTACAGACGCGCTGTAATTTGTTTTTTAAGACATCTCGGTGCTTCTTTTATCCTAACTCTTTCAAATTATTTACAGCAAAGTAGGCCATGATTTACATCACTCAAGTTGTCGAACATTTAACAGTTAAACTTTTTAGTTATTGGATTATTCTTGTATTCGTACCTCAGTGGAAAAATTGCCATTCATACTTAGAGGAAATTTTTCAAGTTTTTTTCTCAAATTCTTCGCCAAAAACGATTTTATTCAACAGGATACATTATACCAAATCGTTTGAAATTTACATCCAAAGTTGGAAATAACACATTATGTATTTTCTCAATATAGATATAAATATTATAACATTTAGTTTATTATTAAATATGGTTTTACAGTTTTGAAAAAGCAAATTCGCTAAGTTCTTGGAAATGGGTTGGAAGATCTTTCCAAAGATCTATTGCCTGAAAAGAAATCGTCTGTTTTCCTTTTTTCGTCCTTCTGCCTTGTTCGTGTAAATTTTGTGCAGCTGTAAATCTGGTATTATGCCACAGATCAGGATGCAGTAAATTTTAAAGCATGTAAGCGGTAAACATTATTTACTGTTAGGATATTTAATAGATTTAATAAAGAGAGTGCGCTTTCAATATTACTCACAGAAGTAACAGCAAAGGAGATAAGTCTTGAAAATGAAACTCTTAGTACAATAACAAAATCTTAATTTCTTCCAACTCAAAGATCTTTGCGTTGTGTAGTCAATCAGTAACACGTGTTTCATTTTCTCCCTGAAAGGTGGATCTCACTACTTTTGTAACTATCAAGGAGCTTTTGTACCCGCTGACCACTGAAGTTCATTATCATTACTATTTCATTGAATGTTGCTAAGCATTGGTTCTGATGTTACTGCTTTTATAAAAGAAAAATACTCTAGGAAAGTTTTCCTGTTCAGAAATTAAGATCATTGAGCATTGCAACCCAAAGTTTAGGACCTGAAATCCCAGATCAAAATATTTTGCTTTGCAGGGTAGCGTGAAACGACCACATATAAAACATGTCTCCCGCCCGGTTTTGCGCAGGGCAGAGGATACACCTTTGGGCAGCGCAAGTGAGGATGGTGACTTTGTGACTGATGAAGACGAGAGTATTAGTTATCAGCAATTAAAAAACATATGTCACTCACAAAGTGGATACAAGGAACGTTCTTATACTTTATTTTTGCAGCGGGTCTTAACTACTCAAGCATTTTGGGAAACAATCAGACTTTCTTGGCGTGGCTCGATAAATGGTTGAAGCCTGTGACTAACCAATTATCTTACTGGAATCACTGCTACCAGGCGACTGTCAATGGCTGGTCTTCCTCTACCTTCCATTCAAACTGTGACGGCAAAGGTCCATCTGTCACAATCATCCGTGTTGGGAAATATATCTTTGGAGGATACACAAGGCAGTCATGGGGTAGTGTCCCGAGCAGTAAGTGACCTGAGCTATTTTATCTTAATACAGGCGACCCAAGCAAAAACTGAGCTGTGAGTCAGCGATGATCATATTGCGTAATGGCTGTATATGATTTACTCTCCGTCCCATGTGTATACCTTACTCCCAGAAATCTTGGCTGAAAAAAGTCTTGTAACAAATCACAACTTGGTGTTTGTGTAAAACTATTTCAGCGAATATATTTTCCTGTTTTGAATGCTAAAACTTAACGGGAAATTATCATCATCATCATCGTCATCGTCATCATCGTCATCATCATCATCATCGTCGTCGTCGTCATCGTTTATTTGCCACACAATAAAAAAGAAACATATACAACGACAACAATTTTTGATAGGGAGACCATCTTAGTCGTTAATATAGTATAAATGTTTAGCTTTGTCACGTCACTCATTGCGCAGAGTGACGTTTTTAAAATACAACATTTTGTCAATTTAGAGTCATTTTTATCCACATTCTGGATGAGTATGCACAGCTGAGCCAGGACCGTAGCTAATAACAAGCAAACCGAGGCTGGTGCCTCGGTCATTTTTTTTTTTTGTTTTCGCTTTTTATAATAATCATAAACACCCTAAATAACTATGATAATAGTTATTTACTCCATATTGAGATCTCTGACCGTGCAATGGCGTTAGGAATTATCGTAAGGTAAACATGGCGACACCCAGGTGATTTAAACTGAAAAGTAAACACTTCGTATTCGAACCAGTTAGATATCACGGCTTAACCCCAGATAGCTATAAGGTATACTTTTGAACTTAAACTGCTTTCAGTCAAGATTCTTTTCAACTTTACTGATTCGGGGAGATTTTCGGAATGGAAGTTAGGGAGCGGTAACTCGTTAAAGTCGCCTCGAATCAGCAAAGAAAGCAATATTCCATGAAAGTAAGGTAAATAACATGTTTCGCGATATCTTTCCTGAATGATATCAAGTAAAAACTCCGAAACTGGCCTCTTACACTTTCGCCCTGATCGCCATTTGTACGCGGTATAATCTTCGCGTTTTGTTTTGGTACAACTTGAGTTCGACAGACTAAAGAATTAGCTAAGGACAAGTTGTCGACAACTAAAATGAATCGGTAACTATCAGTCCTTGGCAGAGCTCGCCACAATTTCAGAAATCAAAGTGATCACGTACTAAATTTTTGTGCGCGACCTTGGTCAACTAGCGAGTTCTGAGCCTGTTTTGGCGGCACCGGAACCGCTGGTAACAAACATCATCGACAGGATAATTGTCGAATGTTATTTTTTTTTTCTGATAACTTACGTTTCCTTTGGAAAAGTTGGTACATATATAATCATCTGTTATGGTAAGATTTACACAACAAAGGTATTTTTCTTGATTTTTTCTTGAGCGTATGCATATTATTTCACTCTGATGATGATCAAACAGATCGAAAACGTTTAGACTCATAATTTTAACAGCTTTTTACCTTAAAGTTCTATATTTTACTTTTATCGGCGAAATGTGTGTAAACCCTATAATGCGTCAATAAGAAATGGTCTCAAACGTATTTAATTAAGTGGTGCAACTGACTTTTGTTCTATTACCTATTTTTAATTAGGTAATTGTCAGGATTGGTACGATCCAGCGGCCTTTCTCTTCTCTTTGGTTAACAAGCCTGACTGGCAACCACTAAAGCTAAGTCAAACAGGAAGGTATGCCCATTATAAATGCTGTTCCATCCATAGATGTCCTTCGCATGGACCGACATTTGGATACAGCCACGATATTAAAATTGCCCACAACGCTGCATCAAACACCTACTCTCACACAGACCTTGGATACACGTACAGCCCGCCACCTGGCAACAGCTATGGATCCCCCTTCACAAGATCATTCCTGGCGGGTAGTGCTTACTTCTTCCGCCCTGACGAGATCGAGGTCTTCTATGAAACTACCTGAATGAATTTCGAAGCTCGTAGTTTTAGTTTTACAGACTCTGCTCAGTAAAATTAAAATTTTTGCAAGGCTATTAAGGTATCCTTGTACAGTACACAAACTGTTGGTAATTTATAAAAGTGCAAATTTCAATATTACCGATGATATTTCAATCAATAGGTTACAACCACATCAAATAGTCACGTATCTTTAGCCTGAGACTATCAGTTTACTTTGAGCTTACTTCTTTAATAATTCTCGTTAAAGGTTGGTTTTGTGGCTCAACGTCAAAGTAAGCCGTAACGTTAGCCGAGCTAATGACTTCGGCGGGAAATTTTGATTTAAAATTGTTCAGTCGCTAAAACAACTAAACA